GATCATGTAATTCAAAAATTATCACTAATAATTACCGCTGGTTAAGGCGAAATTATCATCTTTTTTGTCCCACAAAGTGCTGTCATTATACTCATATGCTTGCATGCCCATATATATTATCGGGAAACGTATACGTTCACCTTCGTATTGGCTGATAATCCGGGACATGTATCCTTCATATGATGGAAAATAGGAAAGCCAAAAAGTGCAGACCTCGGAGCAGAATGTGTCACAATTTGATCAGTCTCTGGAGCCCACTAAATTTACCGTCCCTGGCACGAGTTTTTTAACTTGCTAATCTTACTGTCGGACTTAAACAAAAAATTGTAAATGTTTTGCTCAAGTCAAATTGGGCGTTCACTGCTGAACGATGTGTACTCAAGCAATGAACAGAATTTTTAAATTTATTTGAAGCATGCTAGGTGTTGCCCCTACAATGTTTCGGTGAAATATATGTGTAAATCATACTCAAATTGCCGGGTCCTAAACTGGTACAGGATGTCTCTTTAAAACTCAGAAACATGGCAAATAAAAATTATTTCACGTCCAGGCGTGTCTAGTTCCAAAGATGTTAAAACCTAGCTGTGCTATATACCCATTTATAAACGAATTTTCTCCTAATAAGAGGCTTGATTTGATTCAGTCACAACTCTGGTTTATTGTATGAATCAACCCTGTATGCTACACATGATTTACAGTTTAAATTTATTCGATATTTAAGATTTTAAAGTTCTTCTGGGTTTCTAAGATTCACAGAGCATTTTTGAGCTTCTGTAGTCAAAGAATAAGCTGCGGTGCAAGTCAATCACACTTGCGATCCATTGCCCTTGTTCTACTCATTCAGCCCGGAGTTTGCGGATTCGAAATTCCCCTGAGTTTATGCGGACAGTTCTAGCTAGGAATCGAAGGCCTGTAAACTGTCACCCGGATTTCCAGCAAAGACTTGTTTGAAATTTCACTTAAGGGATTTAGTTTACCCATACCAAGAATTTCAGTGGCGGAACTAGCAGTTAAGTTTTGGGGCGTAATAAAGCTCACAAGCTTTTATGGGACACTTACTCCTGATACAATAGTGACCGTTACACGTTCGTCAATATTTTTGAGATAACTGCTATAAAACAATTTCGCTAATCCTTGATATTACCGATGCTGCAATTTAGATTATGCAAAAGCTGTCCAAATGAATAACAATCATCGCTATCAACCAGACGTTATAGTGTTTGTATAAATGTCGTACTCAAGGGATTTAGCATATTACTAAGCTTCTTGCCCCATTCATTGTAGTTTCCACTTGCGTTTATGAGCGCACTCTTTCCTTCTCCCAAATTACAATGTTAGTTAAAATAAAATTATGAATCGACAAACTAATCAATGAANAATCAATGAAACTTTGATATAAAACTTTTTAAAAATTTTTGGTAGTCAAGCAGGTGTGCGTCGATTTTCGTGGTTCGAAAATGGAAACCTGATTCTCGGTGGTGTACGTAATGACTTTCACCATTTGCCGATTGTCTACGTTCCAACATATCAGTCCAAACAATGGACGGTTTTCGTTGACAGGTAAGTAAATCAAAAACCTTGTCAACATCTACTGAAATTCCAGCTTACAGTTTTTGTGTTCGTTTTCTCAATATGAAACGTCATTATTTGATGTCTGATGTATCCAAACATACTGTTTTCAAGTTTTTGAATGTACAACACTGACTTACAAAGAACTTTACCTCAATTTTTGCAAACTTCTGCATTGATTCGTTCATATGTTCTAGAACTTCAGAACAAATAGTTTAAACTTAATGAGACATTAGCATCAACGCTCGCAGCAATACGAGAAAATGCGCCATCTTGTTGTTGAGGTGCCGTTACACGGATAAACTATGACTGAATTCATTCATTGGCATATTGTTAATACCCTGTCTGCTTGCCCAAGGCATTCGGATTCATGTTAGATCTCTATTTACAGACACCGTTCAAAATTTCAGTGCCTGACGATATAGATGAATCACTTTTTAGGAGGTGGGATAAGATTCGCCACCAAAGCTTCAGAGGTATGTGGCCTACGTTACTACGTGTATAACTTATTGTAAAGACTGCACAAGAGATTTCAATGTGCAAACCCGTTACCTGTTCTGAAATTCAAAGTTTAAAACCCGCCTACCAGCAAACATTTGGCGAAATGTGGATTGGAGTAAGAAACTTTGCATTTCTGCGCAAACTTCGGTTACTTCAAAATAATGCGGGGCCATTCACCTCAACATTATAACTTTAAAATTTTACGGTGGTGAATAAAATTTACACTTAAACATCTGCGTATGCAATCCTCAGTTGTGTACACTCCTTGGTCAGCTAAATCAAGCTGGATTTAGCTGACGTTTCTAAGTAGCCCGAGAACCATCTGTCGGAGATATCAAGGAACAACCCTACATAAACCTATTTTGACAGTTGAATTTCATACATTGTACTTCAACTTCAGCGAATTCCACTTATGACGCAAGCCGAGAAAGAATCCCTTGCCTTTGTTAACTACTTACTTCACCTTATCCATTGCACTCGTGGCTTATGGAGGGAAATCTAAATGGAATTCTTTCTCCTCCCATTTTGGAGAACTACAAAATAGGGAGAAGTGTGAAATTGGGTCTTTATACTGTTATTGTACGAAGGCATGCCGAAATACTGAAGCGTTACTATGTCAAAATATTGGTTGCTCGATTAAATGTTCGATAGTCAGTTAACTGAACTTTACAAATGGATTGTAACTATGTCGTCCCAATCCAGAATTCATTGTGGCTGCTCAGTAGACTGGATGCTTCTCAGTTACATAGCTGCCTTCACATAGTGCTCGAAGTTTATCCAATAACCCTTGATGGGATCTCACGACTGGAACACACCCTTCTTTCAGCACGTTTACTATTTGCACAGCGTCGCGGTCCGTATAGCTCGTCTTCCATTGGTTTTTCGGGTATGTGCTTCGTGGTTCCTCAGTGCGTTTTCAAAATTTCACTCCTGGTTAATGCTAAGCATCCGTTCTTTCTGTACACTCTGGTTTTTCGATTACTTGAAAAACTAAGTCATTTTTGTGTTCCTGTAGCCTGGTCAAAAGCTTTCTTTCGTATATCGAAAATGGTGTGTATCCGAATCTGTGCAACGATTCTTCTACACAAATTCCGTCCAAATAATTGTGCCCAACCGTCCATTTGCGTTTGACAGTGCTCTCATCGTGTGCTAGCGGGTTTTGTGTGTCGAAGCCTTGTTGTAATTTGGAAGAGCCGTGCGGTCATTTCCTAACTATGTTTGCGTTCTCCTGGTGATGTCAAGTTAGCCAAATTTGATTTTCTGAAATGACGCCAGATGAAGTAAGTCGGATACGCATTTCCCTGAAAGGCATTGCGCCAGGACTTCCGGATATTTGATACCTTAGTGTGGCAGTGATTGCATAGTAATCCAGGATGTGAAGCTACATTGCGCTACCCTTCCTAATTGCACTTTTGGCCAAGATAGACGAAACAAAAACCTCGTACTTGAAGCTGTAAATAAGAATATCTTTCAAGCTAAACAATGAGTGTCTGGCTGCTATAAACGCAGTATTTTCCGATATTCCTTTACGAAAATCAATCACGCAAAATGTCGTTTAGCCATGACTGTGCAGTAGTGCATAGGATTAGGTCTACAATGTGGGGACATACTGTTCGAATTTTATGTGTAAAATTGTATAAAAATTGACTATCTGTCCGGATAGAGAATTATGGTAACTTAACTTTTATAATACCTCCTTCAGCATCGTCTATGGAGATGTAGTTCTCTGCAAACCCTGCCGTGCAAGAGTTGACACTGGGGCGTCAGTTACCCATGCACCCGTGAGACCAGCAAACATCCTTTTACAAAACTCTGTTGTGGAAGTATATGACGGTGGAGTGCTGCATGTTCCCGTTCAAAGTCTTCCATACCTTCTTCCGATAAACATAAACATACGTTCCCACACGTTCACGTTACAACCACACCAGCTGGTGAGAGAGGTAAGCTGAAGAAACTTCCCATTTCTATCTTGTAATATATAAATCAAGAAGACTAAATACGCCTTTATTACTTCAGATCAACGGTGTTTATGCTTTCGGAATGGAGGCTGTACAAAACGTCAACGAAAATCAGTGGCTGTTCGGAATATCTTTTCTCCGCCATTTCCACACAATCTTTGATCAACAAAGTAACCAGGTCGGCTTTGCCGCAGTAAATTGTTGAAATATTTCGTCAGTCTGTGGATAGGATTTATAATTCTTCATCCATTTTTTCTCGAATTTGTGTGTGTTTCTTATTATTTTTGTGGCCAGATCTCAGAACGTTGTCGCCTTTGATGCACCCTTGGTGTTCAAGTTAAATTGTTCTTCACATCATGCGCATCCTTACTAGTACAGTGGACAGAATATATACGGAATCAGAATTTAAACGCACCAAATTTTGGCTTCTTTGCTAATAGCGATGCCCTTAAAAAAACATTAGCTGTGTTATCCTCTAATTATATTCAAAAGGCTTCGACACCAGTGAGCGATCGCAACACATTTACCAAGAGGATTTTAGATCTGGGCATACTGGGAAGTTTTAACTGATGTCTAAAATGGTTTTGAAAGTGGATTGAACAGTTGTTTAATGGTTTACGCAAATTCACCGAAAGGGATGCGGTATCTGGACGAAACGTTCCTACACGGGCATCTTCTCCGTAATACGGAGGAACAACTGCCCAGCAAAAGTATCTATTATATAAGTTGTTGCTGGTTGGATCGCTCCCACACGAGAATGCATTCAACATGCTTACCCATGCCTGCTTATGTCTAGCTACTGGCGAACCGGGGTTATAGTACAACGTCTTTGTTATTTTTAGAAAAAACGTTCATTATCTGAGAATATACCGAGTGAAGACGCCACCAATTAACCAAACAATATTGTTAGTTTATGCGCAGTTCCCATTAACTTGGGAACTTCCATCAAAGGCTAAAGTGGGAAAGTTCTGTTCTTGAGAGTGAGGCTTCAAATGGATGCACTCCTACGAAAAATTAGCTTAGGGTTACAACAATACAATTTTATACCGTTTTGTGGGCAAACGTCTAGGATGTTTCAATTAAATGAGGCACTAAAATCTTCTGAGAGGTACGCTTTTGTATCTTAGGTCTCACTCTAGCCGTACCATTTCTGGTGTATTGTTTCAAACCGTCCTAGCTAATCTAGAGAAATTGGTAAACCTGTAAGATTCCGAAACATATTGCTGGCCGTTTGTGCGGCTGACGGGTAAGCAATCAAGTAAAGCAAATTAGCTAAGCTGTAATTCGTATCCCATTAACAACCAACGACCAGGTTTCACCCGCAAATCCAATGCTGTAAAAGTGAAGAAATTAGCACTCGACTCAGGGAATTGGACATCTATACCGTGTCGGCAGATAGACGTACATGTAAATGTTCTTTGCGCGTCGATAACCATTCTCCAGCATGACTCATAAGATTCGGTTTCAAGTGCCATTGGGACGTTGAAGATTGAAGGGAAGGCTTGTTTTCCAATCTACAAGAACGACAGTCTAAATAAATGTAAACAACAACACAGTTCTATGAAGCCAACTTTGTAAGCCGCAATTGAGCTACTGGTTGTTTTGTCCAGACTCATGATTCGACCAAGAATAATGATGAGAGGCAAATGGCAACTTCTGCCGGCATAACATCAGGTTCCTGTACAATCCGAACTTTAATAGCAGTATCCATGGCAAACGCATGGTGGCTTGCGACGTTCATGTGTGCTCTGAATCGATTAAACTTCTGATCGATTAACCATTGTGCACGAAGGTAATACACCCCCATTAAATTTAATCTGCCTTATCAGTTTTTTCAGTATGGTGAAACCCTCCAATCCGCGAGCCACCGCACGCACTCTTTAATTTCATTGTTTTCATTCATGCACCTGGGATCTTGTTCACCGGGAATTAATTTGAAACAACAGATTAAACGCACTCTCTAATGTCCATTATGTCATGTTTGGTCGAACGAAAATTTTCATACTTGTCAAGATGACGGAAACGCTTTTCAATCTTTACACACAGTTATTAACCCTTCGTGTGGTAGAGTCTCAATAGTCCTGACCATATTGAACCAAGCAGGAGAACAAACTAGTTCGTAATTTATCCATGCCTGAGGCCGTTACGGCAAGCTGTAAAAACTTGAGGCTCACCTTTTGAGTTCTGCCATTATTCTTGTAAAGCATCATATCACACATAACATAGTATTACAGGGTGGAAAAAAGTTACTAACCGCATTTTAGTAAAAAACGAGACGGTATCTTCTTGTTTTGAAAAAGTAACATTTAAGTGTGATTCGACATCGCAAAAGTAAAAAGCGGATAAGTAGGAGTTTAGAGTCGGGTTGATCAATTTAGGGTTGGTTTAAATGGTAATCTAGGAACCTGTTACATAGTACTCCATAACGCCTTATGGATATTTTCACAAAATAAGCTTTCAGTTAGTTGATTCTCGCGGAGATCAGTGATTCAGTCCGATAATTTGTCCAGATACATATTAAGATTTAACGAAATTGGGGTGTTTTGTAGAGGTGCTTTCGTAAAACTATCAAGCAGACCGCATTTTTGGATTAAATATTTCTGTAGGATAAAACGGCCAATCGGTAAAATAGAACTCCAAACCCCGTGATATTTCGTTATCTGCAAAATCTGCGTGTGTAACTAGAGAGAAAGCTGATTGCTGTTCGAAACAGTGGTTCGTAATAATATTAGAATATAAACAGCATGGTAGTCCACACAGTTTTCTTTAATATAAACTACTATCTTTTACCATTAACCTGTCATCCGTTAAGCCGATCGTACTAATAATTTTTGCTTATTGAATGCTTCATTGAAGATGTAATTTTTGTCCATACTGCGCGAAAATTCAGATTATATTTTGTAGCAGGTTGTCACTAAAATCGAACTACAATTAACTCCGGTGCCCACCGACATCGGTTAGCACCAGTCTAGTGGACACTGCTTTCGGATTTTGCAGAACTTGAGTCATGTTTAAACCTTACACAGACTAACCAAGAATATGGAGTACTTTTAACAACGAAAATTTCATGTTTGAATTCAGTCGACGAAATGAGATGCATCAAATAAGTTTCAACTGAATATTAATTTAAAAACCGAAAGGCCTGTGGCTGTAGCGCAAAGCAGACGATCGTACATTCAGTTGTTAGACTTCCAGGATGAAAACATTGTGTTGGCGTGCACTTGTTCGTTTATGGTTGTCAGTTCAGATCGACTTTCCAACAAACTTGAATAATTAGCCCACGTTATTCGACTAACTATGGTTACATGTAAGCTGATTTCAGACAAACTGAAGACTGAAAATAAGGGAAGTTTTCTATATAGGAGAATGTCGGTAGCTCAGGTAGCGTAGATGGTCGTTGGCTTGTTCGCTGAGCTGGGCAATTTGGTTGGAAACGTTTCATCACCAATCGAGGTGACATCATCAGTGCATAGTTGTGCGTAGCGGTGGGTTAGTGGTTGTGCACAACCACTAACTACAGTGGCGATTGGTAATGAAACGTTTCCAACCAAATTGCCCAGCTCAGCGAACAAGCAAACGACCATAAGGGAAGTTGTTTCATTCTGTGTTGAACGACTTGCAATTTTACGCCCCAAATACTTTTGGTTAGTCAGTGGCTATACAAGGCAGCTGCAGTCATGTTTGTTCGTTATTATTATTTTTGAAGAGACGAGAAATTATGTAGTCTTCATGGAATTTCCGGCTAAAATAGCATAAACATTTGTGACATCTCATTATGAGCCCTCAGTTGAAGTATAATTGTTGGTGCATCATTATATCGCAAAGAGACGAGAAATTATGTAGTCTTCATGGAATTTCCGGCTAAAATAGCATAAACATTTGTGACATCTCATTATGAGCCCTCAGTTGAAGTATAATTGTTGGTGCATCATTATATCGCAAATCACATCGACAGCGCCTTTTTCCTGTAGAGAAAAAAATGGTATATTTTTCTTCGAGTTTTGAAATACTTTCACGGAATCCTATAGGACTTAAAATTATAACGGCTTTGTGGAACATTCGCCACACTTTTGTGCTTCATCGCATGTTTATAAGTAGATAGAGAATGTGTGGCAAACTTTTTCACATACAGTACATATCCAAGACCTCACAGCGAAATCACGATAGAAAATTTGAGATAGACCCCGGCGATAACAAACTCTTTGCAACCAGATGCTTGTTGAACAGCATAAAATCGTGCGCGATGCGATGAGTTTGGTTTTTCTACTGACGCGTAGAACTCAATAGTGTACGGCCGAGAAAAACCGAATTATAGGTTCTTTGAGCGTACTTATGCCGTGATATGCGTTTAATCCAGAATTTATAATGGATTAGGCTGCGTAATAGAGCAAACGCCAATGACCCACGAAAATATTACTAACAACAAATGATCGGCTCTTTATCCACAGCCAAATATATAGATAAGCCTGGCACACTCGTTTGAATCACTGAGTCACGTTCGCAGGTATTGCGCACCGGTACTTCAAACACTTCAGGTTTGCAATTGGCCACAAGTTGGCACGCAAATAGCGGATTAGAACGGAAACACCGTGGCAAAATGGTTTTGAAATCAAAGGGGCCCCATCAGGTCTACTGACTTTATTTCGGTAGACAATGCAGCGCAGGCATATTGACAGAATTTTAAACGTTTTTGGTATCAGCTCTGAGTAACTGACTGGCCTTACAGCGGGTCTTTGTTTGCTTTTTTCGTTCGAAGTATAAAATCTTTTGTTTTTATGATGCATTTGAAAACCGTTCGGCGGGTGGCTGATCACTGCTCCGGAAAATTAGCTCACTTAACGCTAGACATATCTGAACTACAGTGTGCATGTTGCTTCGTACCGGTAACGAAGATATTGAACAAAAATAAGTTTTAAAGTTCGTCGCCGATCCACACGATTTTATTATTTCAAGTGCACTTTTGAGACACGGGATATGTCTCATGATACCTTAGAGCATTAACATCCGCTCTGGCCTTCCAAATGTCTGTTTTGTGCACAAGTCTGCTAAGTTATCAGTGATTCTTCGCATTTATAATTGCAAATATGCACCGCATGAGACCAGCCAACGTGTGCTCAGATGTTTCTCCGCAGAACATACTATCAAATGTTGTGCCAAATCTCAAGCTGGTTTTTAAGAGCGATAACTTTTGGC